ACCCCCAGTTTATAGATAGGGATACTGAGACCTAGAGAGCTCAATAATTTGCCCAAGGTCCCCATGTCAGTTCCCGGAGCCAGAATTTGAACCTAGTGGCCTGATTCCACAGCCACAGCCTCAATGAGCACCCTATATACTTCTCACATGCGTACTTTGTGCCAGAACTGATACTGGACACAAGGCTGCAAAGATAAATATTTGAATATTCACTATTTATTTTCCAACTTGTTCTAAAAATGATTTTAGGAGACACAAAGATGGATAAAAAGCAGCTCACAGAAGATAAGGACAGAAGGACAAGCAGAGAAAATTCCAGGTCTGGGACTGCACAAGGAAATGTCCCATGCTGCCTGAGAACAAGCCAAGCATTAACTGGACTGAGGGGAAAGCCTTGACTGCCAGATAAAAAGGCTGGGATTTTTCCCATTGGCCAACTGCTGCCCAATCTACAAGTCGAGATGTAGTTCAGGGGAGAGCATTAAAGTATGCACAGAGTCTATGGAACAAACCAATGTCTTCACAGACGTGAGAGTAGTTGATAAAATACAAATCTTACCCTGGCTGACTTGGCTCAGTAGATAGAGCTTTCCCCTGTGGGACTGAAGGGCCCTGGGTTTGATTACGGTCAAGGGCACATGCCCCTGTGGCAGGCTCCATCCCCAGTGGGGGGCATGCAAGAGGCAGCTGATCAATGATTCTCATCATTGATGTTTCTATATTTCTCTTCCTCTCTGAAATAAACAAACATATATTTAGAAAAACAATACAAATCTTTTTCAAGGAGCTCTTAAAATTAGTAACCTCGTTGGATATTTTCCCCATCAACAGATACTAAAAACGTAACCAATATCACCCCAATAAATTTAATTTAATATATATATATATATATATATATATATATATATATATATATTTGATTTCTTACAGAGAGGAAGAGAGAGGGATAGTTAGAAACATCAATGAGAGAGAAACATCCATCAGCTGCCTCCTGCACACCCCCTACTGGGGATGAGCCCACAACCAAGGTACATGCCCTTGACCGGAATCGAACCCAGGACCTTTCAGTCCACAGGCCGACACTCTATCCAGAGTCAAACTGGTTTCAACAAGAACATCTTAAAAAGAAAAAAAAATACTAAAAAGATAACTGCTATCATATGGACAGGGGAAATATTTTTGTCCCTGTATTTAGAAAACTTGAATACCCCTGCTGTCAGGCACTGGAAGTAATGGAAAGGTTTTAAGCAAGGAGCTCCTAGGATTCAAAATCTTGAACATTTGCTCTCCACCTACCCCTCAACCGCCACCTCTCCAAGCCCGTGGATCTGCTGGAAATCAACCATCGGAAGGCCCCGAAGATGAGCCTTGGCCCGGCGAGAAGTTCGATGCAGAGATATTCTCACAAAGAGCGCTACGTAAGTACAAATGACTGTTTGATCAATCATTGGGCCTCGGCGTGGGATTTGGTTAGAATTAAAGCCATCTGGCTGAGCGGGGAGAGCCGGGGGTGCTGGGGGAGGAGACAAGCAGGCGGGAAAATGACCCGCTCCCTCCCTCAAAAAGCATTGTTAAAATGTAACGGGGGAGAAACAGTAAAGTCTCTGCTGTTATTCCAGCCTAAACCACTTAATCCTTCAACACATAAAGCAACTTATTTTATGACCTTTTCCCTTTAAAAAGTAAATCAGAAGATGCGGCCTTGAATTCAGATAGCTCTGAAAAGCACTACTCATCCCCTCCCAGAGAAATATCCTGTTTCATAAACCTTCTTCGAGATACTTGAAACTGCAGATCGCTAAATGCCTAGCTTTAGGCGTCTGACATTCCAGAGAATTAATATTTAAACTTATTACAGGGGGGAAAAAAAGAATTGTGTTTGGTTGAAGCATGAAATATTTAATAGTGTTCTCCACATTAGAGACCCTATTTTGTTTCACACTGGAAATGCCAGCGTTATTACCTGGGCTTTGCACTCAAATGAGATGAAACGCACAGGCAGCCTGGAGATTAAATACACAATTATTACGGCCGATTTCTCCGGGGAGAAGGGGAGTGAGACAGGTTTGGGGAGTGGAAGTGATTGAGTTTCATTTTTACGATACACTTAAAATTATATTATCATTATCTGCCCGGAGGGTTGGACGTGAGAGCAGCTAACGCTACTTAACCACTGGAAACCGTGTTAAGATGGGTGAATCCACCGAGGCCTGTTCATGGTACGCAAAGCCGTCTGTGTCTTGGAACGGCCCGCTGCCAGGCAGAGCCCCGTAACGTTCTCTCTCCTCGCTAGGACAAAAGTATTAAGTGGTTTGGGGATAAAAATTAAGCTTCATTTGACACAGTGGAACCTGGCAGCCTCCACCGGCACGTGTAATTTATTTACAGGGGTGGAAAGTCGGCAAAATACATCATCAACTCTTACACAAACTTCTACTAGGAATTAAATACCCAAGCCTCAGAGAAGTGATTCATATAGTCCAGCGGCGTTCCAAAATAAACCCAATCTGCAGCCCTCCGGAGAGCTTAAAACAGCAAATGGGATCTGTAATTTTTAAATCGGGTTTATAATACTCCCTGGTTTCTTGCGAAAGCCTTATTTTTCCATCGAACCTGTTATTGAAAAACAAAGCAACAATATCTGAAAGAGCAATCTTGTTGCCAAAAGGACACCAATGGGAAGAGGCCGGGCCACATGCAACCAGGAACGTCCTGATACAAATTATTCTCCTTTCAGACCCAGCCCCCGGGTCCCAAGCAGAGGAGCCCTGGCCAATAACGACTCCTGCAACTTCGCCTTCAGAAGAGCATGATTCCTTGAAAACATCGTCCACACACTAGTTCTCGTGGATGCACTTGCCACGCAAGACCACAAATATACACCAGCAGGGGTATCTTTTCCTCCCAAAGGGGGTCATCTGGCTCATTCATCATTTGCACAAATCATGGCCCACAACCACCCCAGTTCACTCTGATCTCTGGCCTGTTCTCCATCCCAAGCCTTTCTTCATCCCACCAAGCATTTAATAGGAGATTATTATTTAATAGATCTCGAGCAGCCATGCCCAGTGAGGCATGCACTCTACACGCCAAGTGTGGTGAGGATCATGAGAATTTCTCTTTAAGCAGATGTCTTCAGGAGCAGCAGACGGGAGACGGCCATGAACCTCCCGGACTGTGTGGAAGACTCAGATAGGGACTAAAAGGTTGGTAAGAGTGTAGGGAGGGAAGGACCTAAGGTTGGTCAGGCCACTGCTTCTGAGACGGAGCGCTGCCAGGGGCCCCTCCATAGTGTGGGAGAGTGCTTGCTTGAGAACCCCACACTGGGAACCACTGTCCTTCCCTCATTGCTGCAGCAGGGCAGTGGGGAGAGCCCTCAGGGAGGTAGAGCATCTCCCCTAAAAGTCATACCTGGTCCTGTCAGCGGAGGCTCACGACGTGCTACTCCGGGGAATGGCTGTCTGGACCGGCCTGCGGCCTCCTGCTGCCTTCCCCGCTACCACCACCACCAAAGTCAGGGCACGCTCTACAGCCACAGCAACTTCGTGCCTCTGCTTGAATTTTATAGGCTGCCCTTGAGAGCACCGTGCTTTGGGGGGGAAATACTGGCTTTGCTGTCGGACAGAGCTGGGTTCAAATCCCAAGCTCGACTACCTACTGCTTACACAGCAGGGCGTCGCTGTGAATGGAATAGTAAGTAGCTCCTTATTAGGACAAATAACTTAACCTTTCCAAGCCTCAGTTCTGCCACCTATAAATTTATAATCAGGCCTTCTGTCCTCCAAGTGTCGTTACTATTAAATCAATCGCAGCTTTAGAGTACCAGGCCTGGCCCAGAGTAAGTACTCAATAAAGGTTATGGACCTCCCCCTTCCTGCTCCTTCGGTGGCCCGCTTTAGGAGTCAAGAGTTCCAAGGAGAGGTCACGTCTGCAACCTGGCCTGAGACAAAGGTGGCCTCTGTCCACACCCTAGATGCTTGCCAACCTTCCCAGCCCAGTTCCTGTGGAATCCTGGAGCACCGGAGCAGGAAGGACTGTGGATCGTCCCATCAGACTGCTGCCCATTTTACAGATGCTGCAACAGAGGCTCAAAGGGACGGGCCCGGCCCACATGCACTGAGGCTGTACAATGGCGCATGTGTTTGCTCCAGACGGGCCCAACCATAACCACCAAATAAATCCAGGCCATACAGGAAATGCATTATTCAGTCAGCGGGCTGAAGGTCTCCTCTCAGTGCATCTGACTCAAACGCTGACTTTAAAAACACAGCTCGTAATGCTAATACAATCCGCCTCGACCCGCCGGAAACCTTCAGAAGAAACAACCCTTTGGAGTTTAGGAGAAGACAGAGGAAAGAAAAAAACAGATGCTTCCAGTGACTTGAAACTATAAGACCACTGGGTTGGGGCTGTATCCTCTCTACCCCAAGCCTCTGTTTTCTTTCAGTTTTTTTATAAATAAGACTCTGGGAGACCAAAGCAGCCACAAAACATCAACCCCCCCCCCAACACTTTTTTTTTCTTTTTTGCTTTTCTTACTCAGTAACTCAGCTATCAGTCCCGGACTTTGCTTCTAATGCTGAAGCATTTTTTTTTTTTTTCCTTCTCATTGTAAACTATTAATTTGGGCAGCGGCTGTTGATAAACAAGAAGTCCATTCTGAAACTGCTAGGATCATTAGCACGGTGAAGGCGAGCGGCACAAATATTTCAGAGTGTGCTCTTTTTCCTGGCCCTGGCACTACTGCCGTGCTCCCTGCATAAGGCAGCTGAATTTTTCAGAGCCCTCTGCAGAGTTTGTTTCATTCCTGCTCCCTCCCCCCCCCCCCCACGCTAAGTATCTTTGTTTCTTTAAACACAAAAATAAGCTACCCCCTACCAAAAGCAACAACACACCTCCCCAGGTCCAAACTAACTGCGACTAAAATCTATAGCAGGAAAAATAATTAGCAAGCCACATTATAATTTAACCTTGAAATTAACGATCTATATATACATAAGGTACGATGGCTGAATACCATCATATGGGCTTCGAAGCAGGGAATTCTTTTCCAGGCAAATGGAGAGAACGAAGGGAGACTGCCCTCTCTACGCAAAAGCCACGGTCAGCGGGTGTTCACTGCATGCTAGACTTACAAATAAAGTCAACTTACAAATAAAGTTGGTATTTATTTGCTTGTTGTTTTTTCCCCTAATCCTATCCAAAAAGGGATGACAAACCCTATTCCAAACTTTGGTTTCTCCCCTTTTCTCGGATGCTGGCCAAACTCCACAAAATAAAACTGAAGAAAATGATGATAATTATGCAACATTCAGAACAAAGAACATAAGAATATATTTTTTTAAATGATTCATTGTGCACTTATGCCTGTAATGGGATTTTAACGCACTGTTAAAATAAGTGCGCTGGCTCACTTAGCTTCTCACGCAAACCTTACGCAGGGAGATGAATAACTCAAAGATGGGGTGGGTTTCGGGGTGTGTGTGTGTGTTTTTTTTTTTCTTTCTTTCTTTCTTTTTTCCAGGAGGAGAAGTGCGAAGGAAAACCATGGAAGTATAAAGAAACTTATGGGTGTTTTTTTTTTTTTTTTTTAAAAAAAGTCACCCGGGGATATGTTTTTATTGATTTTAGAGAGGGAGAGAAACATCACTATGAGAGAGAAACATCAATCAGTAGCCTCCCATATGTACCCCAACTGGGAACTGAACCCAAAACCTAGGTATGTTCCCTGACTGGGAAGTGGACCGGAAACATTTTTGGTGTACAGGACTGCACTCCCACCAACTGAGCCACTCGGCCAGGGCAAGAAGCTTACATTTTTTTAATCACAGACAGAGCAACACAGCCTACCAATAGGTTTCCACAGCTAAGAGGGACCCTCCTGGGACCTCAGAAACAACAAAAATTAAGTTACAATCTCACAGGATACTCCCCCTTCTGTTTTGTACACCAGATCTTAGCTTCTAAAGGGCTGAAGAGGCAAGGAGAGAGAAATCCTAGCCAAACAAGATTCTTAGGAAATCTTTGGGAATTATATTTCCACTATATGTCTACAAAAGATTTGTTGGATATGTAACTATTACGACTGTAGACCACAACATCTTCCTATCTCATTTGCCTACCCACACACATACATGTTTCTCTTTGTCTCACTGAGCCTGACATTTGGCCAGCAGGTTTTTCTCCCCCTTATTTGAAATCTCAAGCACTGAAAAAAATTTGGATCTGATTATTTCCGGATCACAGGACCAGCACTTTAAAATGGATGAAATGCAAGCAAATTGCCCACCAGAGCCGGAGGGGGTAAATGCTTTCAAAATAACTCATACCTTTCTGTTACAGACGTGCTAGCCCCTCCACGGCTTTCCCAGAACATCAGATCAGGGTGGCTTCTGATTCAGATGAAGAAACTCTACCAGGTAACACCACCAAAACCATCATACTTACTCTCTACCACCAGCAGCCCCGAACACCCATGCACACAACCTATAATTGCTTTCCTTTTTTGTTTTCCTTTAAAAATGTATGTGCATGTGTTTTAGCTTTAAGAAAGGAAGGAAGGAAGGAAGGAAGGAAGGAAGGAAGGAAGGAAGGAAGGAAGGAAGGAAGGAAGGAAGGAAGGAAGAAAGGAAGAAAGAAAGAGAAAAAGATTGACTTCTTTTTGGCATTTACAGCCATGTTATGACGGCTGTTTACTAATGGCAGAATCCACATTTGTCATGATCATCAGCCCCCTTTTTATTGCTAGGACGTGTCTAGCCTCAGACAAGTGATGAAAGGGCCCAGTGAGTCTCTGTGAATTATCTGGTTTTGGTCTGGGAAGAGCAACTCTGGACAAAGAGAATTATCTGGTAAACTAAGACGATGGCATAGATACTAGTTACCCATTTCTAAAAATATCAAAAGCAAAATATATTAAATTCTCTGGGCACAATCTGGAGCTTGTAGTGAACACCAGCTCTCGGCCGACAACACACGCATGTAGAAGGAACAAGCTATAGAAACAGAAACAAATATTGGAAGCAGGAAACCTTAAAAAAATGCCACTCACTGTCTGTAGCTTTGAGCACATCCTAGAACCTCAGTGTCTTCTTCCTCTATACAACAGGGATCGCAGTAATAAGAGCCAGTATCTGCCTGGCACTCTGCAGCCTTCTCCGTCTGCTCCCCCGAACAGCCCACGAGGTAGGCAGAGCACAGCTGGCGTGAGGGCAGATGAGAGGGTGTGCGGGAACACGCACCGAAAACTGCTCTGTGCTCGGGGAAGGAGAGTCATCAGGCCATCGCCACAAAGCTGACCGCCTCCTCAAAGCCCAGATGTTTACCTTCTTTCCTTGTCAGGACTTCCAAAAGCAGAGTGTTGGGTGTTTAATAATAAAAAAGGAAAACACAGCATCTGGTAATTTGGCCTTTCCAGCTGTTTGGGATCTGGATAAACGGGACTCTGCCGTAAACAGAGCGTGATTCTTAGTGTAAATGATGGTAATGTCAGTCCACCATCCCACACGCCTCCTGACTCCAGACCTGGAAACGCAGAGGACCTCAGCATGGACGGATACGCTCCCTTCCTCGGCTTAGGGTCTGTCCAAGGCACAAGGCAGATCGTCTGAAACCTGATTCCAGACCAGGCAATACTGTCTTCTCTCCGGTCCCTGGGCAGGGGTGGCCACTCAAGACCTGAGGCCTGGCTCCTCTCCGCTCCCTCTGGCTAGCACACCAGGTATGGCTCTTCACATTCAATGTTTTAAAAATCAAACCTTTCTCCCTCTTCGCCCTGTCTCCGTTACCGCAAGTATCACTGACTCCAGCTTGGTGCCCTGCATGAATTAATAAAGGAAACCCCTCCCACCTTTTTTATAAAGCGTTCTTGCAGCCATTGTCTCATGTACCCTGGGAGGTAAGCATTATGACCTCTCGCGCTAATAAAAAACCAAAGGTGGAGAACGTTAAATACATTTACGAGAGTAAATCCCCCAAACCAACCAGGCACGCAGGCAGCCCTTTCACACTCTCACGAATGCTCTCTCCTCAGTCTTTCAAAGGAAGTCTCCCGCGAGATTCACAGACGAGGAAACTAAGGCTCGGAGAGTAAAATCACTTCCCCCAACGCCTCTCGGATCACCCGTGGCAAGGTCTCACAATTCCCAGCACAGTCAATAAATATTTTCCTATTGGTATTTCTATCTGTTTCCAATAAGCCCCAGGCTTGGAGCTCAGCACCAAACATTCAAAGGGTTGCGTGGTCTGGGGGATATTTTGGTGGGAATGGGGCAGAGGGCTGCCAGTGACGCTCTGGTTTCCACTCAGGCCCATTTAGAGGAAGAAGTTGGGTCAGAGCCTGGGTCAGAAACCTCTTAGAAGCCTCCCCAAGCCCAGGTCCATGAGCAGTGGGTTGGCCAGAGAACCCCAGCTAGACCTGCTGGGTAGCTTTTTTCCATGAGACTCGTTCTCCCACCCCCAGTCCTTCGTTACTTCATCTTTCAAACGGGGACAATAAATCCCACCCTGCCAGCCTGGCCAGAGACTGAAGAAAACAGTTTAGAAGCCTCTTACAAAATGCATGGCCAGAAAGATCATCTTCTATGGTAGGAGGAAAGAGGCTCTTCCTCCTGGCCCTTTATCCTCCCTGCACTTTCCAAATACAATCCTAACTTAAAGATCTCTAATTGGGGGGGGGGGGGGGGGGGGGGGGGGCGTGTGTATAAAAATAACTGGTTTTGGAGAATGGAAGTGTCAGATCAGTACACAAGGCATCGAGATGAAAGGAACAAAGGCTGTTTGATAGGCATTCACTAGATTTGCTGAGACTACAAACGTTGCAAGAGGGTATGTGTTTAAGGGAGGGTTGTGCATGGAGGGGGGCGAGCCAGGGAGCTCAGGACAGCAAATGTTACTCCCTTCCTGCCGCACAGAACTCCTCTCTCTCTAGTAGGAGAGAACTTCATGTGTGTCATCCAGTAATGACACTCTAAAGGTGGTTTTCTTATGTCTTTCTTCTAATCTAAGGTTTAATCTCTGTCTCTTGGAAAAGACACTGACATCTAAAACAATAAGAAATAACTCTCTCCTACAAAGTCAGGTGTTTTCATCAAAAAGAAAAAAAATACTGTGTTATGTTTTTTCATCTTGCCCATCCCTGAACTGGGGAGCTGGGTATTTTTTACTCAGAAGGCGCTCTCCTCTCCAAAGGTAAGCTGCCCTACCTTTTTGAAGCTGCTAAAGGAGAAATAAAATAAGCTGTTTCTGCCTTCCTTGAGAATCACCTGGAAAGAACCAAGAGGTCCCAAATGCTAAAATAATGAAAGCCCAAAGCCTTGTTTTCTTCCCCAGGCGTGGGGAGGTGGGGAGCGGGGGGCACATTGCCTTAACAATTTCCCCAATTTCTGGTTAATTATTTGTCAGCATGAAACTTATAAATAATGACTCAATAATAATTAACTGTGATGAGAACATGTTCATGAGAATCCTGGCATCATCACTGACTTTGAGCCCACAAACTGTACAGGGGCCTGTACCTTAAACCCACTGGCCTCGCTGGGGCGAGGGAGAGGATTGCAAAGCAACTTTTTACCAAAGACTGTGTGCTTCTGAAGCATCAGGTACAGAAAAGCCATTTTTCAAGTCGGAACTTGACTCAGGCTATATCTACAGATCATACATTTTCCATCAGGAATCCAGAAATCATCTGGTATAATTAATTCCTTCCTTGACAGATGGGGAAACCGAGGGTTTTTGTTATTTATGAAGATTGGAATACTTGAAAGTATGCCTTTAACTAGGAGAGAGAGAGAGAGAGAGAGAGAGAGAGAGAGAGAGAGAGAGAGAGAGAAAGGGAGGGAGAGAGAAGGCTGACTCTAGTGGCTACTCACCCCAATTTATAAGAAGATTTTTGACAAGTTTCACAAAACTTTTATCAGAAACATACATAAGCAAAATTATGTAATCTGACCTTGCTAGGCACACTTCCCTCCAATAAACTAATTCAGTTTAAATTAGATGCTTCTTATCCAGGCATCGCTTTAGAATGACAAGCTAATACCAAACCACTGGAGAGAAGATGATGACCTCCGGGTGAAGTTCCACCAAGTTGTCGGGAGGATTCCTGCAAAGGCTGCGGTGCCCCGGCCCGGCACGCTGGCAGGGCCACACTTACCCTTCC